ATATTAAACAGTAACTTAATATTTATGTAACTTGAAATTATTAATATGAGGAATGTTTATAGTATGAGCTTTCATATTCAGTTTCCATGACAATAATATTGGCATGCCACAAATGAGTTTCTAAGAAATTCAAAATAAAGATGTCAATATGAATTTTGAAGTCAACCTTTAGTTTCCTAGTCGAAATGTACTATAGAGCCAAAACTAAGTTGACTTTCTTTGAATTTTCACAAAATAATATATTTCATTTCAAATTTTAGGTATGCTTTCTAAGTTATAATTTTTTCACTTAGTTTTATTGTGAGTCACAAAAAATCAAAGTACTATATTTTTTGTCCATAAGTAACAACTAGAGATATAAGAATTTGATTTTCTTTATTTGGTACTGGAAATCGAACTCAGGACCTTGCACTTGCAAGGCAGGGGTGATGCCTTTGAGCTAAATCCCCAGCCCTTGAATTTTAACTCTTTACATTTTGTTTATTTTTTAATGAAATAGATCACTACCTAAAGTGATATTATAACTTTTGCCCCTCAAAAGAGAAAAGGCAACAACAAAAAGTCAGGGTCTCTTAGAAAGGTAGATCCTTATTTCTGTAATTATACAGTGTTCTACAATCCATATACCAGTTCATCACTTAGAAATATGTGAATGCACATTTCCAATAAAAACAGGACATTGTACCTATGTGCAGGTATCTTTCGGTTCCCAACAATCAGAATAACATCACAGAGTTGCTGTTGCTTCAAGTAACTTTCCATCTTTCTGAAGGTTTGCTCAGCATGGTGAACAGCCTGGTAGAACTCTTCAGAGCTACTGGAGTCCAAATCATTTTGAGGTGTCAGTGAATGGCCAGTTGTTGACAGTCTGTAAAAACACACACAAAAATATTTTTTTTCTAAAGTTTACCAATTTTCCATATGTAGTTGTTTTAAAAATTTGGAAAAAAAAATAAATGTGTTTGCCCTTATTAATTACTGGATTGTCAAATTCAATGGCACGGGTCTGAAAATTTTTAATTTGGTTTAAATTATTTACTCTTAAAAAAAACACACATTTTATTTATCCATTCATCGGTTGACAGGCATTTAGACTATTTCTAAGATTTAGCTATTATAAAATGTGCCACTCTAAACCTGGGTGTGCGTATATTGTTGTGGTATGATTCTTTTAATTTTTTGAGAAGATCCCAAGAAGAGGAAGAGCTGGGTCCAATGGAACTTCTAGCTGTAGTTTTTTGAGGTATTTCCACACTGATTTCCATAGTGGTTGCACCTGTTTACACTCCCACAACAAGTGGAGGGCTCCTTTTACCCCACAGCCCCACAAGTACTTGCTATTGGTTGACTTCTTGATAATAGACATTCTTTCTGGAGTGAGATGGAATCCCAGTGTTGTTTTTATTTGCATCTCATGGATGACTAGTGATGTTTAATATTTTTTCATATATTTATTTGCTGTTTCTACCTTTACTACTCAGCCATAAAGAAAGATAAACTTGAGACATTTATAGCTAAATGGATGCACCTTGAGACCATACTCTTAAGTGAAATAAATTAGAAACACATGTGCAAATACCAAATTGTTTCTCTGGTGTGAGAAAGTGTTAATAAAGACCAAAATGTATAATAGATATTATGAAATAGGAAGAAAATATTCAAATGGGTAGGGTGAACTGGTGTTGCGGGGGAGGAAAAACGTGAGAAAAGAAGGAAAAATGATAACAAAGCTTTGTAAATAAGAAGGGAGAGGTTGAAGAGAAGGTAGGGGAATGAGAAAAAAAAAAGAATCAAGATATATCATGTACAGGTACAAATTCCCTAGGATGGATGTGATCATCATGTCTGCCTAAAAGGTACTAATAAACTTAATTAATTATTATAAAAGCAATTATTTCTTTCTAAGAAGAAATAAATGAACTGCAAATTTTCTTGTGTCAAGAAAATATTTTAATACAGGTTGTATTTATGTTAATAAACCTAAAAAAGTCAGTTAATTAATGTACTTATTCTGAAATTAACAAAATGTTAAATGTGTTAAAACGAAATATATGTATACAATGAAATATTATTTAGTTATAAAAACATGAAATCTTGTCATTTTGTAGTAACAAGGATCAAATTTGAAGATATTATGTTATGGGAAATTACTCAGAAAGGCAAATACTGCATGATCTTACTCATGTGGGAAATCTAAAATGTCCATTTCATAAACACGGAAGGCAGAATGTTGGTTACCCGGAGCTATGGAAAAGAAGAGGGAGAAAGGAATGGGAAGAGATTGGTCAATGGATATAAAATTACAGTAAGATAGGAGGAAAATGTTCTGGTGCTCTGTTGCACAATACGGTGACTGTAGTCAACCAGACTGCATTTATATTTCAAAGTAGTTATCTGAGACGATTTTGAATATTTTGAATATTTTTAAAGAACTGATAAATGTGTTGAAGGGTATGCTGATTACTCTGATTTCATTTTAAGTATGTATGTACTTCACATTGTTACTCTATAAACTTATACAATTATATGTCAACTAAAATTAATTTAAAGATGATCAACAAACATTAAAAATTCCCTAACAGTCCCAGAAAATGCAGTTAAAACTTTACTTGATAATAATTTCAATGCAAAATTAAGAAGTGAATGAATTCTTAGAAGTTCCTAAAGGGCAAAAGAAAATAAAAAGACATTTATCTAAATTATTTAATGTGTCTAATATGATAATACGAAATTTAACAAGTGTATCACGTAGAAGGAAAATTATAGGTCATTCTGTTTGCATAGCATATTACCATGAATCTCAAGCAAAACATTAGCAACTGAAACTAAAATCAGAAAATTAATCTTAACTAAATTAGACACACGTAAGAACCATCTTTTACTCCTATAGAGACCTAATATATTTATTTGCAAACATACATACCCTATTTAATTGAAACTTTTTTCTCTCTGAGTCTCCGAATGAGGTCTATTTATAATATTTCTATAAAATAGTTTGGGAAGTACTTGTCAGTACAATATAAAGAAATGTAAATAAATCTATTATTGTTAAATAAGAAAACATACAATTGATAGTACTTCCAGCATATATTGTGAACAGAGAAATTTAAAATAATCTACAGAAAGACTAACAAAACTGAACCTACTAAAATCATATGCATTGTTACCTACAATATTTGTCTACACAATATGGTTATTTTCATCAGACTTTTACCTTTTCCTTTGAATATTTGAAAAAAACACAAATTTTGCTTTGCCATGTTTTTACCTTTCACAAATTTGCAAATTACAACCTCCAAATTTGTTCATTTCTCAGAGTATATTTTAGGAAGTCAGACTCAAGAATATGTAGCGAGAACAGCAGAATTCTTCCACACAGTATCATATTAAACAGAAAGTCACAAAATGTACTGTAGTGTTCATTTTTAAATCAAGTCAACATATCATTTGTTCTCAGGTACCTAGAGAAAACTGTGTAAGGATTGGATATTGCCAGGTAAATCAAGACCTCCCCCAAAATAACTCCTTACATTTCCAGTGTGGTACCCAGGATGAATGAACTGGGTCTACAATTCAAAATAATAGAGACAAACATGCAGAATGCTTCCAGATGTGTTAAAAAGAGGTATTAGATAAGAGCTCTAGCACATTAGTATCTACAAGTTAAATGGAAAATGTAGGGCAAAAAAATGTTACACCCCAGTAAAATTTTCATAACCTGTAAAAGTTATCAAGAACAAAATTCATATGCTTCATCTTTAAGCCATGCAACTTGTAGTACATGCAATTTTAAAACAAATAGTAAAAAAAATCAAATAATATAATTTTAACACCTACTGAGAAATTAGAAATAAAATAGAACATGGTGCTTAAAAGAATTTATTCAAAGTCAAAGGCTAATTTCTTTCAGGATTATACCTTCTTTAATCTAGTTATACTAACCCATTTTGAATATAATATAGACATGAGCCTTTTCTAGAAAAGTTTCAGTCAATTGAAAAGTATAAGATTTAAAAGATGACAGAAATAGAAATTGGGCTCTGAAACAAATTTTTTTTGGTACGAATTGATGTTTCTCTTACAGTTTCTTCCTAAAAGTTCTTATGTTTCCAGCTCATCTACATTATGTGAGAATAAGTCACTTTTTTTATCCTATGTCATTGGATCTGTTGGATAAATGGTTATCACAGTTTGCCTTGGTTGTTTATTGAACATTTTCTTATAAATTGCTTGCTTATCTCAAACCTTGGTAGGATTCATTCTCGTTGAGTTTTGATTGGGATGGGATTTAAAAATTAGTTTCCACATGACAATTCATAATTTTAATGCTAAGCTTTCTCATTCAATTTACTTCCCGTCAAATACTCAGTCTTACTCATTTAACAAGTAAGAACTTACAAGTTTAAGAAATGTAGATTATATATTTGGCAATGTTTCTTCAGTATGAGGAAAAACTCTAGTATTGGATTGTCTTGTTATTGCTTGATATTTAATATACTCACCTTAAAAGTTTTTATAGTTTCTTTCCAAAGATAGCCTTTAATATAATAATTTGGCACTTTATTTTTTGTGTTTATTGTGATCAAATAATATAAAACTTCAAGTTCCAAGACAATGAATATTTAAAAATAATGTGACTTCTTCTTATTAAAATGTAAACATGTTTAAAATCTTTCTGGAACTAACATATTAGTTTTCTGTTGCTTTAAAAAAAGTACCTGATATAAATCAACTTAAAGGAGGAAATATTTATTTGGCTCATGTTTTCAGAACTTTCAGTCCATGGTTGACTGACTTCTTTGTTGTGGGGCTGGGGACAAATATTATAGCAGAGGAGGGGAGCAAAGGAAAGCTGTTCATTTCTTGAAAATGAAGACGTAGAATTAGAGGGGAAAAACCAGAAAGGAGAAGCAGGACATCAGTATAGTCCCCAGAGTCATGCTTCCATAATCCAGTCTCTTCAACTAGACCCTACCTCCTGAACCTATCAATTCCTAGTAAAGCCGTCAAATGATGATCTCATCAATGGGTTACTATTTGATAAGCCTTCAGGATCTAGTCACATCCCTAAAATTCCATCAGCTGGGCACCAAGCACATGAGTTTTTAGTGACATTTCTGATCAACACTGTAACACTGACATATACAAGAAACAAAATGCAGAAACATTTTCTTTTACTTCATGAACTACTTTGGCTATAGTTATAATTTCATGCTTCTTTCCACAACCATCTATCTTGAAAGTGTTGCTTCACTGATCAACTTCCAATGAATCCTCCAAACACTTGTCAGCCCTTGCACTCTGATTTCCCTGAACACCTACCTAAAGAGACTGGTCTTGAGCTTTCTTTTACCTTTCATTTTTCTTAGTGGCTTAGCAAAGTTACACATACTTACTTGTTCCCATGCTAAACAGTTGAGGACTAGGCCTGCTTTACTTTTTCTGCACCAATCAATTTCAAGATGAAGAGTTTTTCCAATTGTTATGCTAATCAGTAGTTATGAACTGGGTCTACAATTCAAAATAATAGAGACAGACATGCAGAATGCTTCCAGATGAGTTAAAAAGAGGTATTCAGACAAAAATGGCTTAACAAGTTACATCAGAAGGTAATTACTGCTCAAAGATTTCCTTGTAAATAAATATCAAAAATTATTTGTAAAAACCTACAGTTCTTCACATATTTTGACTTTAAGATCCCCTAACTTCCAATTAGGTCATAAATTCTGCCCATTGCCAATAGTAACGCAGCCTTTAATATCTCCTTTTACCAATTCCATATCATACATTAGAAATTGTTATATAATCTGGTAATTTCTTTAACTTTTACAACACTTCATATTGAGCTTCAATTTTAGTCACTAATTG